TTTTAAAGCAAGCCTCATTGTTTTGGCAATTTAACCCTGTATATTCACACAAGTCCTCTGTAATCAATTGAACTGCAGGACGTTTCAAGTTTTTCATCCACAAACCCTGACAGCGTCCCAAGGTGTTCAGAAGCTTTGGTTATTCCGTTCACAACAAAATGATCATATCCTTCACTGAGACACGGAACAGGTGTAGAAAAACTTGCTTATCATAATTTACTCGAACAATAAGACATATGGTAAAATTCGTTCCAACGTCTACTTGGATGTCCTAGATAATGTACTATGGTTCTATCGTAGCAACAAGAGCTATACCAAAAGATACAAGAGTTTGGGTTTCTTATGACGTATTTTCCCAGTTAATATCTCTCCTCCATAAGGCCAGGTTGCCATAATTTTGCCTGCAAAGGCTTCACAAAACTTCGTGACACCAATTAGTGCCAGAATTAATTGTACATCAAATAAAGTGTAAGAGTTTTGAATGTACACGTACAAAATAATTGGCGAATTCGCCTTCTATCACAAATATGCCTCAAATGGCTAATCTATCAGAACACAATGTGGACACTAAAAATGATAGCATTAGGCATACCAACAGTACCGCACAAGCCAACGCGTTTACAAATAGAATTACCCTGACCTCTAAATGGTATGGACGGACTGTCTGAAACCAAAGTTACGCCTAAATTCTTGTAAATGAATACGCTTTTCTTTCAGAAAGGGAACTAAGAGTTCAGTTTTCATTCAAAGCTTTCTGCAATTTATGGCGATCTGACAACCCTTCCCAAACAAGAATGCATAAATTGTACTTTCAAAGAATGATAAGCTAACCACGGTGGAAATGCTAAAGAAAAAATAATTGTGCTTTGAGAAAACACCAGATAAGGACAGCGCACGAAATTGAAAGCAATCAAAAGTCAGTTTTTGGTCAACTACACGAGCAAAGTGCAGCTGTAGGTTTTGAATGAAGCATTTTCACTAAAAACAGCTACTCATCCAGATGCATTACGCGTTTCAGGGAGTTAAACTCAATGGGATTTTTTAATTCCTCAGAGCGTCTGTCGTTTTTGTCGCGTATCATGGACTCGAACATCACCATTAGGTTTTTGGTCACCAAAGAACAGCTCATTGTTAATGTACTACCACCACATTCAGAATGAAGGCATTTAGGATATTTTTTATTCAGTGACTCCAGCCATTTAAACTGCTTTCTGTACCGCCGAAACGGTGGATACTACTGGTGAACAATGGTGGTAATCTGTGTTCAGACACCAAGCTCCCACAGCACTTGATGAAAGCTGAATTTTATTGCAAAAATAATGAAACCGCTTCGCGGTGTTAATTTACTATTGCGTGAAATTTATGAATATCCATGGAATTTCAAGAGGACGCCTAAGAATGTTCAGTTATTAAGGGCTAGGTGAATATGAGATGCCTACTTTCTTGTCTAGTGACTTATAAATGCTTACTTCATGTTTGTTAATGGATGATTTTGCAGCGAATGGTTTTCCTTTTTTCACCAGTACATCATTCAAGGGAGCTTTTGATTAAACTGCAAAGCTGTTGTTTTCTGCTAAAAGTTCTCTGACAGTGAAAGACATCCGTGATGGTCCCTACTGTCAGTTGGAGTAACAAAGGATTGCTCTCTCTGGGGTGTAATTCGCAAGAGTCGATGGCTTTTTACTCCATGTGATGTTGCTATTTAATCATCTATTTCGACCATTCGTAGTAAACGGTGATATCACGGTGCATTTATTAGTCCACCCTAAAGAACAATATGACCAAAAGAAGCTCTATCTCGAGACAGTTAGATCTAATCATAATCCATTCTGCTGCGCTAGAACTATGATGGCACATTTCAATCAGGAATCCAAAGTAATCACATCATCAGAAATTGTCCTTTGTTTATCAGTAGACAGCAATGTCGGGAAAACACCCGATCCACGTAAATCGACCAGGAACGATTGCGCAAATACATAAAAGCTTCAGCATGACAATCTGTTTTTGAAATCGTTTCCCTAATGCATACGATTAAGATAAGCAGAAATAAGCATTCCAAGCGAATGTCCACAAATGGACACAAACATCCACCCTTTCCTAATTAAAAGACCATTAAGGACACAGGAACTCAAACCCGAAACTTCGAATCTCTTGTGTGGTTCTATTTAGATACACAGTATCTTGGTATTTACTTGGTGCTGAGAGATATGTTAACAGTTTTATTTTGCCTAAAACTTCGCGTTTCCATAACTTGCTTCACTTGCATGACAGGTGTCCAAAGATCACATCACATTGTGGCCGATGATATGCAGTGCTTACGAGCCCTAATAAGAGGGAATCTCGAAGCCAGTTCTTCCTCACCCGACAAACTCACGAGAATGATTGCCCCAGGACAGAAGAACAACTGTTCAAATGATAATATGAACGTACATTTCAGAGATCCGACAACCACCTATGTCTAAAAGGCACACTAATTAGATCCATGTAGGCTGCGTTATTGGTAATCGCGTTGATTTTTCTGGGTCATTTCTGACTCGAGGAAGAATGTTGACGGAATATGAAAAAACTGTTGATAACCCTAACAGAAGTAAAGAAAGGAAGGAGGAAATGATCAATCAATTAATTGTTCTCAAAGCAATGCCAGTTGCTTGTATTGATAGTTATCTCTTCTTGCTTAATGACAATTCCCGGTCCGTTTGAATGGAAATATCTACAGTAAGTAGTCTCTTCAAAACCTCAAATAGCATAAAATGCCTTTATCGAGCCCAAACATTCAGACCATATTTTACTCCTTGATATGTATTATACCAGCAAATGCACGACTAAAGATCTATTGTAGGAATCATTCCCATCTGATTATGGGGTGCATGGTAATCACCCACCAGGAAACTTGCAACACCCGAAGTCCAATTTGCCAAGATTCAAATAATTTAGATCAGGCAATTTAGATTAGGCAATCAAGACGATTCCGGTGCTTTTGGCGAAAGCATCAGGAAAGTGAGGTTTTAAATGCGTCTACCAGAGTAGCTAAAAGACACTATTACAAAGTTTGGCCCAAAGGTTGAGTAGCAAATGTCAGTATTTGCTCACCACTGTTGTGTTATTTCTCGATCAGTCAACAGTCTAGGTATGGCTGCCAGCCGAGATAATTGGGCACTAGACCATGAATAACACTATGACGTTATTGTTCTCAATGAAAGTGGCATCTCTATAAGGGATTCTTATAAAATGGACTACTGTATTTTTTCCGGAAACACGGGCCTTTACAGAATGTTTCTGCGAACTTACTCTGCCATTATGGTCTGTTAAACATCAACTGTGAGTTCCTATTTGGAATGCTCTGAGTAACCAAACTGCGTTTGCTTTTAATTTAACGGGGCAGTAAACATAAAACTAAGTTTGAGACTTTTGTGTTAAAAAGCGCATCTGACATTACGGAAACCGCTGAATTGGATCCAATGCTCGTTGTGAAGTTCTAAAGCATAATGCCTCTATAAATTCGAAGCGTACCAATCGTAAATGCTTGCACTTGTTCATCTGACTCCTTATCTGACTTTACTTCCTTCGACATCAAGGCGAACGACTACACAGTCGGGTACAGACACCTTCTTATTGTGGGCAAATAATCATGCTGCGACCTGTAGAATTCTCCTAATCGGAGCCCGCAAGTATCAGAAACGTCTTATTACATATCTGGCCATTCACCGTAGATGGTGGTTAGTCTATAGATAAAATTCATTGTTTGGCGTGTTCCGCTTAATCATATACTTTTATATGTCCATAGATAGCTATACAGGTAGACAGATTGGCGGATAGATAGATAGACAGACTTGCAGGCAGGTAGGCAGACAGGTAGACAGATAGATAGATAGATAGATAGATAGATAGATAGATAGATAGATAGATAGATAGATAGATAGATAGATAGATAGATAGATAGATAGATAGATAGATAGATAGATAGATAGATAGATAGATAGATAGATAGATAGATAGATAGATAGATAGATAGATAGATAGATAGATAGATAGATAGATAGATAGATAGATAGATAGATAGATAGATAGATAGATAGATAGATAGATAGATAGATAGATAGATAGATAGATAGATAGATAGATAGATAGATAGATAGATAGATAGATAGATAGATAGATAGATAGATAGATAGATAGATAGATAGATAGATAGATAGATAGATAGATAGATAGATAGATAGATAGATAGATAGATAGATAGATAGATAGATAGATAGATAGATAGATAGATAGATAGATAGATAGATAGATAGATAGATAGATAGATAGATAGATAGATAGATAGATAGATAGATAGATAGATAGATAGATAGATAGATAGATAGATAGATAGATAGATAGATAGATAGATAGATAGATAGATAGATAGATAGATAGATAGATAGATAGATAGATAGATAGATAGATAGATAGATAGATAGATAGATAGATAGATAGATAGATAGATAGATAGATAGATAGATAGATAGATAGATAGATGGATAGATAGATGGATAGATAGATAGGTGGCAGGATGCGTAAGTGTATACGCTGATAATGATCCTGCCCATTCCATACTATGAGTTACGCAAGTCCCAAAGCTTCTCTGTACTAACGGTTTTTTTAACTGCATAAAAATTGTGGAAAGTATGTGACAACTTAGAGCGTCCTCTGTGTCAAAATTTCAGAAGTATCACTTGTGGATTTGGGGTGCCTTATAAGTCCAATATTTGCCGGTTCATTTCGATCAATTTCAATCAATTGCAGTTTTGTCCCATCTAATCATCGTTACCGACCCACCCACACAACCGAAGGAATCGGTTTTCATGGAAGATCATCCGGTCCGATTTGAATGTCGAGTAGGCAGATTTCAACCAAAGACTGCTTTATTGACATACAAGTAAGTCATAATGTTGCGGCTCTGTGAAGTCCAAAGTATTCCTATTGTTACTTCACTCTAACCAAACACGTGTATTTTTCAGGTGGTCCATAGCTGATTCAGCCTCAGAAATCGTCCCCGTAGACGGACTGCTTAACATGATGGCCAACAAATCTGTTAACTTGATCAGCAGTAGTCAACACAATTCACATATAGAGATACTGATGAACAGAGAAATGCACAAAAAAATCCTCCGGTGCACGGTTCACAGTCAACTCAAGCAGCCCGCTGGCCTACATGAGAGTGGGCCGCCGGCTGTCACTTCGTCGGCCTCTTTGGAACTGAAAATTTTATGTAAGTTGAGAACAAACTAGGTTTGCTTTACTTCCATTTGGGATCACGGCTAACTATCGCGGCCAGGCTACCTCTTTGAAAACCTCTCCTTACAGACGGACCACGAATCAAGCGACAAGAGACAGTCTACGTTCCGATTCGTTTACCCAATCCAGAAGATCACACTAGTAACAACCATCTTGTCTTCCCAGATGATGAAAGTGGGTTTTGGAACTCGACCACGTTGGCATGGCTCGAAGTAAGTCTAATGGCACAGTGCTTTGCCATTCTGAGCAAATAGATATGACAAAGACGTGTGGTTTTCTAAGTCGCACCTTTTCAAATTTTACAATGATTTTCAAAAGTGTCTTTAGCCCCTTTAAAGCATTCCAAACATATCATGAAGCCCTAACATATACAAGACTGCCTCCGGATCAGTTATGCTTTATTCTGAGGTGCCATTTAAAAAGCTTGCTTAATGTACCCTGTGCAGGGTGCTTAGTTAATTTACGGTCATCATTTTCGCAAGGTAGTCGCACTATTATCGATGTTCCCTGGGGAGTTTCCCAAACAAATCCATCGCAAATGGTCTCTTTGCAAGTTCTCTTTTCCTGTCAAAACAGACAAACTACCTATTGTGGTCTTTTATAGGATCTAATCTTTCGCACAGAAAAACTGTTTCAGATAATAACTGATAAATTAGCATTGGGTAAAGCCATTATCAACGAAGAACTCAAGCCGATATTCAGTGGGAATTACAGTCCTATACGTACAAAGCTGGAAACAGGAGTGTCTTCCCAAAGCTTCAACTTGAACGTTATTCGACCCTGCATTTGGAGTGCCCTATACCTATGTGAAGCAACTCAGGAATAACAGAAATATCTGTAAAATGTTAAGTGCTGGAATGTTGGCAATCTTCTGGAATACTACCGCTGAGATACGGTTTCCCGTCTGTTATGAAAGGCAAGTCAGACATTGAAAAGCCTTTATTCATCAGTCCATGATTTTGTCATACCTTGTGAAGAAACTGGCAAGCGGCTGTTTCTAAAAATAGGTCCGCTTGGCACGCTTAGAACGGAACGCTGCTCATTAGTTTCTCGCGAGTGCATGCAATTTTTTGCTATGTGACTTCCTTGACTGCCACTAACGTGGCACTAAGAATCTGTAAACAATCAAAAAGTGTATCCAAAATTATTTTGACCTGTTTGCGGGAATTTATGGAGGCTGCACTATTGTGAGTGTTTTCCCTCTCTTCGGGGAAATTTTCGGATGCGGCAGTTTCCGGCAAACAGCTTTTGCTGTAAGCATAAAGGACACGATGTTCGGTGATCGGGCTTTTTTAATCTGCATTCCATGGTCGGTAATAAAATAGCGCTTTGGTAAAACAACCACAGACAACGTGAAACGGTTCAAATAGTTTCTCATAACTTAAATAACAACCACATATCTCAGGCACGTTTCCAACACTATCTTTTCTTTCCTTGTGTTTATACGGGGCTTTTTCGATAATGTATTTTTGGTATCAAAACCACTGATTGCTTGAGATTAGGCAGCGATGCTACTCATTGAACTACCGCGGAATCACGTTGTATTGCTGTCAGATAGTACATTCAATGAGTGTTTACTCTCAATCTTGTGTTTTTTGTCAGTCCAGACAGGATCGTGATGGGTTGTGATTGTGTTTTGTGTATGGAGTCTAATCTCGTTTCTTATCATTGCCTCAAACGATTACCAGATTTGGCTGAAATCAGCAGCTTTGCAATATACGGCAATTGTTAGATTTAATTGGTAATTGTGAGTTCGAAAGCGAGGCGGCAGCAAACAGTTTGTACGGTACCGGCTAAACAAATAGAGTTCTGCTCATTTTGGATATTGAAACGCACGCTTTCTCTTCCAACCGAAAAGCATTTTGCTAATCAATTCTCAAGAGGAGCGTTTTGTGACATTTACAGTAAATGACATTTATTATCAGGCTGGTTCGAGCTTAAAATTCTGATTATTGTTCGATGCCGAATGATCAACAGACTATAATAAAACCAGGGAGACGCTTTTAGACAAGCTCACTGGAATTAAGGCGTTACCTTTTGAAGTATATTTCTGAATTCCTGAAAATGGTCAACTCCAAGGCTTTACGCTCTGGCCCTTCGGAATTATATTCAAATAATTTTTAGCAAGATTCCTGAAATGATCTGATGGAACTCAGAGTGTCTGAAAAGATTTCGCGGCCTCAGCCTGACTCATATATATGCCCAAGACAAGAAAACTTATACTTCAAACCTCTCAATAAAATGCACATATGACTCGAAATCATGTTAAAACAGTCTGAGAATTGTACAAGCATTTTTACTTCATCCTGGATGCACTGAACTGACAGCACTGCTTTTCTTACTGACCTGCTTAGACTGATTAGGGAATCATGACTCGTTAGACTCAACCTAGTTGGTGCAGAATTCCCAGAACAATCTTGGTTGACATCCAGTTATTTTTTAATTTTTGCGGAGATTAATCCCAGAAAAAGAAAACTCCACAGCGCCGACTGCGGAAACTTTTCCAGTTGGACACCACTGATCTGGAATCGTTCTGTGGATGAATCAAGTCTGAGGGTATATTGCTCAGCAGAAATCAAATCAGCGCTGAACCCACGCATGGATGCTTAAACGAGGACTAACTGTTGTTTCACTTTTCGGATGAAGTGATTAATCCGACAGCTCGTTTTAATGCGCTCCCTGGCCAACGGTAGATTAGCCACTCATTGTGCCGAAAGATGCTAAGGTTGAGGAACTGCCCTGACCGATGACAACCAAATACAGTACAATATAAACACAAGGGTCAAAAACGGATCCGTATGCAACAATACTAGACTCATTCCTTATAGATAACCGCGGCGAATTTATGACCAATAAGAACACTATCCTAATGTACCTGAAAAATTTGACTGGTGATGCGTTTCTCCAAATTCTTCCAGTGTGAGACGGACTCAAACCCCCCTGCACATATTTCCTGGTATTTCCGTCTTCCAAACGGGTCGATGCAGTTAACTGGATTTGAGACAAGGCAGCCAGTAAAACTATACCAATACGGCAACCTACTTCCCGCCTTGTCCAAATATTACGTTTCAACAGTTTCCACTACACTTGGAACAAAGGATACCAACAATGAGGTGGACCAACGCAGCATTCAAGAAGAGAACATATTACGCAGTCTCTGGAATTTCACATGCGAAGCCTATAGCTCCGGATTTCCAAGGCAGCGAGCGAGCAGACTGGTGGGGCTAGCGGGTAAATGACCGGTATTTTGTCTACTCCTGACCATTGCACTTATACTTCGGAGTTCATCAAAAGTAACCACCCTTAACAGGATGTTTGGACTTTTTTCCAGAGTCAGGGTGAACTTCTGTGTTCCTCCAGGATCCCATGACTTTAAATTCCTTGCTGACCGAAGACACAGTGATGAATAACACAAGCAGTTTGTCCTAAAAGCAGCCACCGATACGTATTTTTGCTAGGTAGTCTGCAGGACAAATCTCGGTCTACATTCCCAACATGGCAGAGCAAGACCATGTATTTTACATATATTGCATATACTCAGGTAATTTAAATAGCTGTTTGAGGGAATCACAATTAAAATAACAACCACTACACAGATCTTGCTCACCTCCAGTAATGCGCAGATGACATCCGGTGGCGAATGTTTTGCAATAGACTCGTCATGTTCTGCGCAAAAGCAGATAGCAGGCTTCGAACAGATTTTTGAAGTTCAGAAAGCATACGAGGAAAACGATCTGTTTTGGTCAGAGCAAACATTTTGTTTAGCACAAATTTTTGCAGTGGGTTTAAATAGACAATTTTAGTTTTGGTGTAAACTGGAGGTCGATTTTCTCACGGCGAGAGGGGAATGACAAAACATGGGGACTTAATAAAAATCAGTAAATTTTTGTGTGTGAGACACTCATCCTTTCCGCCAAACCACCAAGGAGCCGTCCGGCTTAATGTTTGACAATGAACTCATCTGTTTATCATTTTTTCCCGTCGAGCACAGCACAGACACCTTGAGTTGGATGAGGAAGCAGCAAACATGGAAGTTCCCCCACCAATACGATTTTATAATAGTCTCCCGTACATTTCGTTGAACTGCGATGTCTTGTAAAAACATAATATTTTGGTCAGTGAGCGTGCTTTTGTTTGATTTTTTAAAAGTATCATCAGTTAGTCAAGGCGTTTTCAATCTAACCAGTTAAAACAAGCGAGCTCCGTAAGTGATCTTCACTCGCATATCCATATGACCAAGAGGCATTGGTCTGACTTAGTCCCATTGGAATATGCTTTGGTAAATACTGAAAGGAAGACTTAATTGCACATGATAAGAATACAGTAGCAGCAACCACGGAGTCTTTAGTGTTCAGAAAGCCAGTGCTGTGTCTCGTGTTCTATCGCTGTGTAGACGAACTAGTTTGAATAAATAGCCCGGAGGTAGACAAGGAAATAACACACACAAAGGTGGTATTTACCAAGCTTGCTTTCCTTCTTTCCGCTTGTAATTCCCGTCGAGCGCAGCACAGACACCTTTAGTGGGATGAGGAAGCAGCAAACATGGAAGTTCCCCCACCAATACTATTTTATAATAGCCTCCCCTACATTTCGTTGAACTACGATGTCTTGTAAAAACATAATATTTTGGTCGGTGAGCGTGTTTTTGTTTGATTTTTTAAAAGTATCATCAGTTAGTCAGGACGTTTTCAATCTAACCAGCAGCATGCACTATAGTTGCCATTTCTGGTGGAATTCGGAAAAAGTCGAAGAACTCGAATCTTTAAGCGAAATTTTTCATTCAGTTTCTCCTCAAAAACGTCTGAAAACTTGGAAGCACACAAAAGATCATTATCCAGAGAAGACTGAAACAGCGCTTCAAAATTACATGCGTAAGAAATTGATCGATATTAATATGACATGACTGAGAGTATGCAGACCTTACTGCTAATCGTGAACGTACGGTTTAGTGTTCAAATTCTAGCAGGGATAGGCAATCTTTATGGGATACACTCTACTGACCAGTTCCAATAGGAATAAAACAGCTGCCTAGTGATTCTCAACTGGTAGTTATAGATCAAAGTTACTTACGGTGTCAAATCTCAGTAAAACATCTTCGAATCTCCTCATACTCATAACTAAACTTACGCATATTTTCAAGCTGGTACGAGGTTAACAGCACCTCCAAAAAATAAACACAAAGGACACTGGAATGATCCTTACCTTTGGTTTGCTTCATTTAGGACAAGCAAAGGTATATAGATTTCTTCTTGTTCTCTATTCTTGTGATTCATATCCTTGTGACTCGAAAATTCTTTCTGAATGTGTTGGAACTCCGGAAATACATACCTCAAGTTACTCACTGCTAAATAATTTCAGGTTCATTTCCTTAGCACCAGGCTTACCGAAGTAGTATGCTGTTTGCGATAAATTCAAGCCCACCGGTTTCTGACCTTAAGGTTTTATTACTCGAATTCATAGCAGATTTGCGTTTGAATGCAGCTAAATTGCCTTTTACTCCCGTAAGCCCGCAGGTTTTGACAGGATGCCCTCAAGAAGAAAGCTCATTGTGTTTTTGGTTCAGTTGAGTCGATTTACTTTCACGATTCTAAATAAGAATGTGCTGGTAAATGAATGCCTGAAACAACAATGGTTTTAATTGTTGGCCCACAATTTTTTGCAGTTTCTCGTAAAACCGCGGATCCCGCTGCTTTTCATACTTTGAAGCTGTGTTATTTTTTTGCTAGATGTGCCAATGTTGACAGGCAGAAACCAAGTTTTTGTGCGGACTGGACAATCTGTGGAGCTTCAGTGCGACATACGTAGTTTACCTGCCCCCTTCGAATCAAGCATCCAGTGGAACTTTCACGCCATCTTCTTCAAAGAAAACCCAAGGAGTTTGAATCTATTCACACTCTCGAATACCGCATTTGAGAAATACGGGGCAACTGATTCAAACATTTTAGAGGTCCATCAACTCTTGGTCAATCGACAGTGGATGATCACAAACGAGGAAGTAGTTCTTGGTTGGATTAGTCGACTAAGGATCCAGCATGTAACCGAAAAGCACTTTGGTCTTTACAACTGTTCTGCTAGAAACGAATTGGGTGGTGGGTGGCACATTACACTGTTACGGCAGGCACAGAACGATGGAAAAGGTTAGTTCAAACTTGTCACTGACGTCATTTGCACGCTGAAAACTATTACGACTCACCAGTAAGCGTTCAGTTTCTCTTGTGAAAGTTGTAAACAATATGTAGTTCAACCATGTCTGCAGCTGACTTTGTTTTGGTGAAATAAGATAGCGCACTATGTATATATTCTCATCCACCGTGTTCTTTGATATGAGAAGGTGTGATAGCCTGCAACAGAAACTCGAAGATTATGTTTAACTGATGAACCCCAAGACGGGCGAAATTGACAGTGGGCTGTCAGAGTTTTCAGTAAAATTACAAGCAATTTACTGCCAAGAGGATTTTACACTCAATCAATTGTCAGAGTCACTTTTACCTCGTTTGTCAATATGTTTATTAACGCTGAATTGTCTGGAAAAACCGCACCGGTTAATTGCGAATTTCTTCCTCAACAAGACTTCCTATCAACTTTCACTGTGAAACTCAGATTAGCTTCTGACTAACCAAGAACAACTAAAATAGACCTGATGACAAGATCAACTTAGCCGTAGAAGTATATGGTCAAAATACCCTTCAAAAGATATGCTACCGCGCAATATATCACGAAGTTTTATTCACACCTGAAACCGTTGATGTGGATAGTATCTCACTTCATATTTTGCTTATGAATTGATCCACAACTCACAGTAAGAACATTTATATTGAGAAAATCGTTCAGCTGTATAACCCTATGGGTGCTTAACTGCCATGCCGCTCGAAGGAGGTACGACGGCTAGAATACTACCAGGTTCCCCAAGCCTACACATAGGATGTCGAGAGGCAGAGGTCGGGTTCGAACCACGGACCTTCAGTTCAGTAAATTCGCGCTCTAATCTTCTATTGCAGCCTGAATCTTGACTTCACTGAACCGTACAAAGCTTACTATCCGGTTCAGATAAAGACAGCTCTTACCACACCCATCAAGATTTACTCAAGAACTGTACGGTCAACTGAGCAGCAGAACTTGATCCGTTAAGCTTCGCTATGTCTTCGGTGTGTAGGTGCGCCAACCACCAGATATAAAACAGAGGATAACATGCTGCCATATTACCCTTACTAAGAGAACAGCGGTTCGAAAATCCTGGCTAGACTCAAATTACGTACTTTTTAATTTGCTGCTCATACTTCGGTAAGTCAAGTATCCCGGAGTAATCATTATGCCAGGTAGCGCCACATTAGGACACCTTGTCGGTATTAAGTCCAACTGATTGTGTGCCACTACGTTAGGGTAACGCGTGACCAAAGTTAAGCTAATCTACTGACTAGTTCTTAACCATCTTCATTTCCGAAAATGGCGCTATAATATAAAGGAGTTTACTGTCAGATAAGGTAGAGGGCTATCATCGGTTCCGATGTACACATAGAATGCAAATCACTCTTGCGGGCTGATTCATGATGGAGATCTACCAAGGCCATCCGTTTTACAAGAATTTCGTCCTTTATTTTCAAATTGTGTGAATGTTAGACATTGTTAAAAATTAATGAAACCCAAAATGGGTCTTAATGTCGGTTGGTCCCTGGCGTATTTTTATCCGTTAATACATTAGATCCAGGATGAATAATTCAACATCGTCAATAGCTCCACAGAGCTGTCCTTTAAGTTTGAATGAAGGAAACAAAGTGCCAGAAGAACTGATTCACTCAAGCTCACATTTATTGATGGGTTTTCAACTCCACAAACTGGTCACAAAATTCTGCCACTTTGTAAATCCTGAAACACCACCTAAAGTACCTGGGATACTCAGTCACTGCTATGTGGTTTAGGAGTGCTGCATTTCCGAACAGAATTCGGAATACTTTCTCGTTGTTCTCTCTCATAACTTTCCTCAAAGGGGACAACACTCTGATTCTCAATATTTTCTTGGAGGATTCGCGGCAACAATAATTACTACAAATAATCACTACTACTAATCCATTGAAAGTAAGCCAATGATCAAATCGCTGACAGCTGTCACACGCACAAACACGCCACTACTGTCGGTTAAATGTTGCAACTGATCAGGAACAACAAATACCCTCAGACTTACTTCGGCGTGGGCAAATAGGTGTGCTGCCCAATGCGATTCCTGGGCGTTTCGCTCTCTTGGATATCAGACAGCATGCTGCAACGAACGTAAAATTTGAGCACATTTGGAATGGTCAGTATATCAGTCCCCACTCTTTAGTACGGCTAAAAAGCGAAAATTACAGAAGTGATTTGAAGACAAAGGCTCTTAAGAATCTCCCAACTGAGCTACAACTTGAGCTGAGGAAGAAAGGGATAATCGTTATTCATTTTCTGTGCACATAATTCAGAAGCACGGATGCTGAGGGTATGACTGAGAACCAGCATCAGAAGCACATCCAGTAACACTCGATTAGTATGGTAGTAGTGCTTATTGCCATAAACAACAAAAATAAGTCTCGGCTTTGACCTTTTACGCACAGATATTTAGCAGCCATCCATTCTCCATCGGCCGCACAGCAAAATAAGCTCTCAGGCGCTCGATGGAGCACTGTCCACACCATTTACCCCGAACATCAGAATAGAGCAAGATAAGTAAAACGCTCCATGACTTTGAATGCCTCCCCCTGTATTGTAAGTGGTGAGCTCACTGACTGCACATCCACAAGCACTTTGTGGGTGCAAAGTGCATAACAAAGGACGAGATGACTTTGGTCAGTTTATCCAAAAACCCCTGCGCCTTCTCCTCTTTTTTGAAAACGATGTCGTCTGCATACCCCAGATCGACAAGGTTTGTGTCACACCTGTTTGAACACCAGGGTTTTGAAGACCTTCCAGCGTTTGTCTCAGTATTTCAGTGACCACAAAGTTAAATAGGAATGGATCGATTGGGCACCCATGACGAACACCGCTTTGTGTACTAAAGCTTTTGGAAAGCTCTACGTATATTCTCACACGTCCAGAAATCTGAGGATACATGGAACTTATTATTTTCACAAGCTTACTGGTATTCCTCGATGGGCAAGCTTGTCAAGGAAAACAGATCGACTGTCCGAGTCACATGCGTTTTTGAAATCCAGGGATACTAAGATTTTTGGTCGTTTATGTGTATTGTGTTCTTCTAGCACCTAACGGAGTGTGAAGGTTTGGTCAACGCAGCTCATACCAGCTCGGAATTCGCTTACTGATCTCGATTCAATGTTTCACAAGCCATCATAAGATGACGAAGAAAGGAGTCCAAGAGTTTTGCTACGACCGGAGTCAAGATGATTTCCGGGCAATTAGCTCACTCTTCACGGATCCCGGTTTTCGAAACTGACACTATCAGCGGTTTTTCGAGTTGGCTGTGACGGTCTCGTTTCCTGAGATACGCGCAAATAGGTCAGGCAAGCGTTGACTAAGGATTTTGCCCCCACTTGTGAACAAAGTGGGTGGTACGTCACCCGAACCGGCAGCTCGGTGGCGCTTGAGAGGACATATGCAGTCACGGATCTCTGAAGCCGTAGATGGACCAAGTTTAACTGTCCATGTTTCTACATTATTTGTGGAATCCAGCGGGTAGCCACGAGAATTACTTTTCGATGTATTCGACCCAGCTGTTGAGGCGTCTTTCGTTATTCAAACTGGTCATGCCACTCTGGTCCTTGATGGTTCCGCTCACAGGTAGTCTCATGGATCAACTGAAATCACCTCCAGGCATTTCAGTTTTCCGGAGTTTCTTCCACTCCCTTGAAATTCACTGTTCACGAGCCTCCACTGTCAAAGCACACGCTAACTTATGTGGAACCGAATTGCTTTCTGATCCAGCGGGAATAGTTCCTCAAGCTTTAAGCAATGCCACTGAAGTCTCTGGTAGCCAGTGCCTCAGCAAACCTGGAAACGCCTTGCCACGGGCAAAACTCTCCGCACTGTGCAAAGAGCTGGCGAGCTCATTCCGGTATGAATTTACACCCATCAATGAAAGAACTGGAAGGGAGTTCAGAATACTATTTTGGTGCAGTCGTCCAAATTCTGGACTTGTCAGTCTCTCAGTTCCCAAACAGTCCGTCCTCACCTTACACGAGAGAGAAGCTATTCCGGATGAGTGCCTCGTCGGGATCTAAATGTGTGTCCCGAACCGGCTGACAGTCAGTTACTGAGCCGCGCTATCGGTAATTGGTGGCGAAGTAGTAAATTTTGGTTCATAACTGGCCAGCTGTTGAAGGACACCATATGACCAGACGACTTCCTTTGTTTCGTAAGTTACTACTGAACGAAACCAGCCTGTGTTCAACACATAACCAAAGCAACCTTTTGTCATTTTCCGTACGCCTGGAGTCCGGTCCATGTCTACAACTTGAGTCTCATACACACTAAGCCCTTACACTTGTGCATTCAGATCAGCCCACCGTTACGAAACATCCAGGGCGCCGTAAAACTGTTCTTTGCTGATGTCACAGCTAGAGTCGATTGAAGCCTAAGCGGACTGAACAAACAGATAGCGCTCAAATTTCCGCTTGCTAAAATTTCACAGACGTTGCCAGGCGAACCACATAGAGGCGACTATCAGCAGGAGTCCAGTAAAGCAGGGAATCTTCTACCGGATGACCCATGACGATGCCGGCTTTTGACGCAGGGGGTGTGCAGCTGGAAGCAAGTGGAGTGACGGGGCAGTCATCTAAAACTCCTGTCCTTGTATACTGAATTCTTGTTTTTTGCTACACAACACACATCAAAATCCAACGGGAAAACAAGAACAGCTTGTTGTTCTGTTTGCTTCAGAGTGCAACCAGATAGGCTAGGCGTCGAAGCTTGAAGAATGATTTCGAGATATCCCAGGCTTTCCGTGCTGGTTGACGAGCAGATTTTACAGACAAAGCCGCTGCAGAACGAGCGTGGTTGTCAGTCACAATGGACAGACCAGCAAAGGGAGAGGGGAAAGCGCAGCAGTAGCCTGTTTTCGCTTACCGGCCGTGCTGTTTGCAGCAAGTAAGCCGACCAATGTGATGACGCCACACGATGGCCGAAGTGACAGGACAGTATTGTTAGTTGTAGTTTTGTTTGTTGTACGTGGGTTGAGACAATGCCAAGTCACCCTAAAACTGGACAGAAGGACGCCTACGGTCACCAACTGAAGCGTTCGCCTCCAAAGTCTGACAGCAAGCCAACGATATTTGGCGGAAAATGCAAACACAATACCCATTTAACGAAAACGGGTCACCGCAGATATTTAAACCTTTAACCTAGAGGGGACCAAGAAACTCTGTCGGTTAGACATCGAAGCAGAGCCCAAACCAGTATGTAAGACTTTGTGAGTGTCACATGGATAGCCCTCAGTGTAGCTCAGTGGGTCACGGAAACGCACAAGCCGTTAGATAGTAGACGGAAAAGAATAGATAAGTCATCCTGGCTAAAACGGTCATAAAGTGAGGACGAACTGAGTACGTGGATTCGTTGTGAACTGAGAAGAGAGAGTGCAGCATTTGTTGTACAAACATTTGTATTAGAACGGGTGAAGTTCGTTTTTTCTTCTGGTGCAAGACGTATCAGTGTATCCAGACTTTGATATGTAAATAAGATATGTACACACCGGTTGGCGATTGACTGTACGTGCACTGGTCTTGTGCTGACCAGACTTCAGGATTCTCGGCACCAGCGGGGAAACAAACTCTAGAAGTAAAGATACTTGGGCGTTTTTACATCCAAGTTCACTAGCAACATGTGAGTAACTCTGAAACCTGAATTTGAACTTAAGTATTTGTACAAAATCATTTTGCCCCGGATCTCTGCATAATCGTTTGGTTCTGGTTGATGCCACATTCGATACCACGTGAAAGTGAAACGGCTTAAACTTGGGCTGTGCTGTGGAGGACTAATAGTCTTTGTTTCTCAGTAAGTTTCTCCGAAATTCTTTTAACTTCTTCTTGTTTGTCCCAACTCCGTTTGCCTAAGGTGAGGTTTATTTAAAAACATAAATAGAGTTAATCAATCAAAACACACTTTAACAGCCGGTCGTAATCCTATGACGTTCAAAACAAGCGAAGCGTTCCCGTTCATTTAGAACCAACCAAATATCTGCGAAGCTCATTTGCACACCAGTTTGGCTTTGACCGGAAGCTCAACTGACTCCCAGCTGAATCCCTCTTATATCATATTCGTCAACTGATTGTTCTGTACACAATTCACCTTGCGTTCGTATTATTTCGGTACATTTTTTTGGTTGCCGAATAGTTCCCGGCAGACTACTCTCAGAAGGTTAACAAAAAATTGGGGCCGCCCTACCTGATGGGACCAGTTGTAGGCATTCGAAGATTTTATGGCAACCTTGTGACTAGACTGTTTCAAGAAAATCAAACACTTAGTTTTACTTTTATTGCCACTGGCTACCTGTTCGCCATACAGTCATTTTCTGAATCTTTTTTGTGGAGCGCACTTTAATCATGTATCATCTAGAGGGGAATGTTTCTGAACTTAGTTCGGAAGAGTTTATTGAAGAAAACTACGAAACAATGGATTTGGTTGATTTATTATGAGACATAACTTCCAGAAAATTGCTAGAAGTATCCCAAAAGCTTAGAATGTTTCAGCAGAATAAGTTTTCTATTCCAAACGAAAAAACTCAGTGTTACGAGATTTGTAGTGGCATTTTAAACATCGGAGGTAGGGGAAACAGGACATTTTTGCTTGTTCTGCAGCAGCGTTATGAGTACGTATGAGGTGTATTGAAGTATCTGTCTTTCCATTGAGTCGATAAAGGAACGGATATGCTTCTGATTACCGCCGAATAGTGACAGAATCCCTCTGTGTTTGGGTTCATCTTGCAGCTAGCGGTATTGCCAGTGTACGGTTTAACTATCTTACTCAAACTTTCCACTGGCTCGGCGAGTCCAACACTGATAAGTAAGGAACCACATACTGCGATAATAATAATGATAATAATAATAATGCTTACTTGATAATGCTTACTGTCACTAAGGAGATTCCCCTTCTGAAGCTAGGGTGTTCAGCTGCCATAGTCGTGTTTGGCTTTGCATGTGGAGCTATGCTGAAGGGTCCGGAATCACTGTACAGCTGCATCATTCATTTTGGGAATCAGCATCATGATCAGTGCGCATCTGACGAGACTGGGGCAAAGAGTTTGAAACCCGCGACCACCCTACTAGTGTAACGGTGGATACTACTGATGGGACATGCGAATAATGTGGTCTTTTTGTAACTCTATCTTGGTCCAGTGAAAGGTGGGATTTATTACGGAATTTGCGAAACTGCTTTGAAGCATTCGTTTACAATTGCGTGATAGCCAATGAACATCCAGGGAAGTTCAAGAAGACACGTTCAAGAAGGAGAAAAACAAGGTGCATATGAGAGTTTTACTTTCCTGTCCCATAGTCTGCGATTGTCCAGTTGGTGTCTTCCAATAAACAACCCCGTTCAACCACGAGCACTGGACCAATTTGCACCTAGGCGCGCTATAGTTTCACTGATCTTCGAATCACGGAGCCCATATCACCTGGTCCCAAAGTCCCGTGCTCATGGCTCTTGGACTGACCAGTTATCAGATGCACGTTTCTTCATTCATCTTGTGAAGTTATCCTTCCTTGCTTGTAGTATGAGAAAACTTGGGGATTTTTCAATGGAGGATTCGTCTGGGAGGTCCTTGAGGTGCAAACATATGATGGCTTCCACTGAAGATGAGACAGCTGTCACGTGCTTTTTGTCCATTCAACATAGAATGGTTTCCTTCCCATGACAAATCCGCATTGAAAATTCCTAAATCTCCTCACACTACCAACAAATGCGAGCTCCGTTTTCCCAGTCGACTGGTATGTTACTTGTTCTCCTTTGGTTTCCGTTGCATCTAGTGTGTCAAAGCAGTTTTATGGTTTCCGTAAATGTTTCACTACCCAAAAGCCAAATTTGGCAGCACTGAACAGACACAACTTAACCACCCATTATGTGTAACTTTTTTGTGTGTACTAATTGCAGGTTTTCTAAGGATGGAGTACATGGTACACCTATTGACCGGAATATTGTTTGTTGCTGTATTCGGTTGCCTTTGTTACCTGATATGGTTTCGCAAGCTTATCTGCCACGGATGGTTATCTCCGCTAGCGTGGAAGTTCACATGCATGAGATCACAATCCAATATGAGAAGCCCTGTTTCCACTAAGAAGGGGTGAGTCGTACAAAATTCATTGCATGAGAGGCAAATATTTCGACTTCCCAGAATCGATATGACTTAGGATTTCGTAAAGTTTAACTGTACGCAGTTAGTTGTAGGGCACTCTAGCCCATTCTTCGTTTTCATCCAGCTAACGGTATTATTCGTACAGCCAAGAAAACTGTCGTTTCCAGGCATGTCAACCAATAGGCCACAGTTGGTTTTACTCAGTTTGTCTGGCTCAAAAATACAGACGAGGTCATTTTCGGGCCAAATAAAATCCTTTATTTCTTAGAAATAACTCGCTCTGACTGTAGTGATGAACAGAAAAAATCGGTGGTTCTTAAACTAGAGCAAAAAGTTTCTATGAATTCTGGCCTGAAGCACCGCGTGATGCTTCCTCCGTATATGCTTCACTGGCATATTCATCCACTCACCAGCTGACCAATTTTTATATGCAGTATTACTGTCTTTCTGAATATAAAAATGACGACTGATAAAGAAGAAATGTATTGAGATAGCGGCAAGCAATTTGTTTTCACCGCCGAAACCGTAATACAATCTATTCAACTATATGGATCCACTTTCAACGTTGACCTTCCGTATGCATTTGAAACGTGCGGTGCGGGTTTGAAGGCTGACCATCTGGTAGGGTTTTAAGACATTGAAAACTAATGTCATATGTCATCCTGTGGCTCCAAGTGAGAACAAAAGGGAACTAACATAATGCGTGAAAGTGTTCTAATGGAGTTCATCATGCTCCGGCTACGACAAAAATTATTACAAGACAGTACTTCTCAGCTGCCAAAGAACTGAGCAAATCAAAAAAACAAATTCCACAATCTCTAGGAAATTTTCACACAAACTGTACTCACAAAATAGCAAGGGTTTCTTTTGGAAAACACCCTCGCCAGGGTGATGGTCAGTTCTTTAGATAACTGCAGATAACCACAAGCGGCATTCTAAGAAAGAGAAAAATAAGTTAAAGTGCCGTCAGTTTTATTTTGCGAGCAGACATAAGTTTTCTGATCTTACTCTTTAATGGTTTTTGCCACTGCCGTCTTCCAACTGTTCATATAGATGCAGTGTCATCGTGGAGAATGAGCCCCGATTTTTCAACAGAACATATCCAAAACACTCTTATGTTGAAACCTTCCACGTGATCGCAAACCAGCTGGATGGCCCCGGTTTGCGCGAGTGTGGTTCAAATTTACTCTACACAGAACGGCAGGGAGAATGCTTGGCAATTACGCCTATGGAATTTCAAATTATACGCGGTCGTTCGACGCTCCCTACCAAAAAACCTAATGACGAAAGGCGTAAGTTACAAGAGACCTACCAAGAAAGCACTGAGGAAAAATTAACACAACAGACATCCAACTCGTTCTCTTACACTGGTGAGTATAACCTGCTCTCTCATTAAGAATAGAGAAAAGTTCAGTAAGAACCAAAATACTCATAGTAATTCACAGACTGACTCGATGAATGAATGATTTCCCTGGATTTTGACGAGCAATCAATTGTCTGTGGCATTGCAATCGTACTTTCCGTATGAATTTTACTTAGAATCATGTACTATATTGTATTAACTCCTGAGATGTCTAAGCTGAGAAGACTGAAGTTGAGAAAATTTTACACGGTAAATATAACGACTATAGTGCATTAATTTTATTTTCATTATCAGTGTGCGCTGTCGGTGCTCCCAACAAACACCCCCATATCACAGTGGGTGCATCCGCTTCCTCCGGCTGGTCACGCATGCTCTCGGTATTGTTTCCATCAGGAAAACTCACAGTTTCTTTGTTCCTATAGCACACATTACCATATAAATGTAATGATTTTATACATAAGCCCCAAAATTTCCCAGTCGTTTCCTGCGGCTCGCATCATATTGCTGGTTGCGGTAGTGTTTTAGCTGAAAAAAATCACAAACATAAAAACAACTCAAGTCGTCTTTTCCACAGAATGGTATGGACCATTTGATTTATACGCGTGCAATTCGCATGTTATTACACAGTGATCAATAATCCGTACAATGGAACTCTTATGATAGCAGAATAAGTTTCCACGAAAAAAAAAACTTATTTCACACGTTCTCGCTGAATGCATGTTGCTTGTCTTGTGTGTTCTGGTAATAGACTCTCATAAATGTTGCGTCCACAGTTGACAGTAGCCTGAGTAGACCATTAGCGTTTTTTCTATTCATCAAAATATTAATCCAATTTCTTTGATTTTGTGATCAAAACTTATTCACACGTTCTCGCTGAATGCATGTTGCTTGTCTTGTGTGTTCTGGTAATAGACTCTCATAAATGTTGCGTCCACAGTTGACAGTAGCCTGAGTAGACCATTAGCGTTTTTTCTATTCATCAAAATATTAATCCAATTTCTTTGATTTTGTGATCACTCTGACTTGGGTTGAATGCAATTTTTTCTGAGAAAGATTCAACCTTTCAAGACACTTCTATTGTTAACATACAGGTTGCCAGGCAGAATCCAATGGACAGCCGACAACACTTCTACATGCTGGGAACCGGAACAACTTTGTTGAAAGCCAAAAAACTGGGTTATCAAGACTTCTAAATTTAAGTACATTCCACGGAACATCAAAAGCGAGTTGGTGATGACTAGAGGAATTAGGCACTGGTGTCAACTGAATTCAAACTGTGTTGTCAAATTGTGTTCTAGCCCTCAATTTTATATTTGCGGAAGATGGAGGCAAGTAAAACCTGAAATTGAGGTTGAAAATTAAGAATGTTACTTCTAACGCAAACAGTGAGGCACTTTTGGGAGTTGAAAGGTGCCACTAGTTTTAAAATGTGAGAATGTTGGTCAAGTTTGTACCCTTAAAGCTACATTTCTCTGCTTTCCTTGTAAAACTCGCACCAGAGTAGCTCTACAAGTTCCGAGTCTACCGTATATTATTATTATAAGCTTTCTCATATTCTCAAAATATATCCCTCAAACATTCATTGCAATATAGATTTACTGAAGAAAATGTCCTTAATCAACCGCGAAGAAGACAGCTTTCAGTCCGCGAACAAACCTTACTTCAGTCGCAATCAAGCTACCTCGCGGAGACTTCAGCGGCTTTCGCTGGCACACCAAATGCTCTCGTTAAATGATCAAAGTTCCAATACGACAGCAGCTTTATCTCAACAGCTTGATTATCAACATTCTACCAGGTTTCACACACAGGCCACGTGGAATACGGAGAAACCGAGGGGTATAAATTACGCTATGGGATGTCAACAAGCGACGAGGCGAACTTCCTCTCCAGAAGTCCAACCTTACAATATCCCGCTTCTCCTTCCTTCAACTGCAAAAGAAAAATGACACGCAAGGTTTTCGCATTTGGTATTAAATTCAGCTGCAAGTGATGCGTCCCTGCCAATACGATTACTTTCTGAAGGATGAACGTAGACTTAACTCGGCGACGTAATGTGATAAACTGAAGAACAGTGATTTGCCTTTTCCACAATCAGTCATTTTTACAAAAAAATATTCTTTTTAGACTGGTATTTCTGACATGACATTTTAGATCCGACGATAAATGGAAGTGAAATTTCGAGTGAAGTTAATAAGTTTCACAGAATACATTTGCCTATGTGTTTGTTTTTTGCTCGGTAAACGAGAGTGAGATATGTTATAGCAAGGAAAGTTGAGGTAGATCTTGTATGGTGATCGACAAACACAAGATTACATACCAGACTATCCAAAGTCTTGGATTTGACCTCAGTTGTCAGTTCCCCATTTTGCAACTTTGTTCCATGAAATTTTGATAGCTGTTAACAGGATAGTTGCACTTCTACACAACGGAGACTAGCAGAAATCCGGTGAAGCAATACAACTTACTCATACAATCCCCTATAGCTTTTTGCCCCGTCGAGTTAGAGGCACGACGTAGTGCTTTGTCGAGAGGAGGCCGATCGGGGTTTGATCTGGAAGTAAATATCAGTCTGAGAGCAGGCGATTTCTTCATTGTAAGCTTCGTTTAAACGACGTCCTTTTCACTCATAGAGGTGCTTTCTAGGGTGGGCAATCACAGTCAAGGTCCAAATCAAACAGGACATGGTTCTGCTTAAAATAAGGCCTTTTTCAAAGTCAACGCGAATTCGAGACATCACATACGTGCTGCTGAAGTACAGAGAACAAACACACTTAATCCGTTTGCTCACATCCACCGGTGGAGCAAAATAGGAAAAAGAATGGTGTCCTGGTTCCCAGACCTCTTCCCTTGGTGATGATCTTTTGCTGTGTGGGGGTAAACAATCAAAAATCAATTTTAATTGTTTTACAAACCACATCATTGAAGTATCTTCTGACGAATATAACTGACCAATATAACGTCACGTCTTTTAGTATTCGGACCAAGAGAATATGTAATTTAATGGGACCTTATGAATGACGCTGAATGAATTTCAGCATGCAGAATATGGCTAAAAAACTAACAACCGTATACTTGGACGAGTTTTGGGAAAAACCTGCACCCTCGAATAGACAACGAGACCAATAGCCCTTTGCAACTGTGGAACACAATATATAGTAGGGATTTGGAAGCGGGAGATCAACACTACGCTGTGTAGTTTTTGAGTTAACTCGAATTCGGGAACCCACACCTCTGCCCGCTGAAAAATTCAGATAAGTAGACACATTCCCGTTCCAAAGAGCTCGTCAACGGGTAATCAGTTAGATCCGCATTTTCAGTTGCTTTGCACTGCTAACCTCTGGGTTTCTATTCACTTTACCCAAATCGAATACAATCGCCAATCACGGTACTTTTTCCGATACGGACGTGAGAAATTTTATTGGGTCTCAGCAGGTACGGAGCGGCCTCGGCCCCCCAAACAAAGTACAAATCATGTCATAGGTAGCTTTTGTTTGATTGCAGCAGTACAAAAGCTGTCCGCTGCGGTTGGCCGCATAAGTGACTTTGAAAAACGGTTGAAGCAGGAGGAATTTGTTATTACCAAATCCTACCATCTGGTCGCCTACATGGTTGTCATTTAACTGTAGATCATTAGTGTCCTATGGAATCACCTTTCCTACCAAAACAGTTGGTTCCATCAAGACTGCCAAAGAAACTGTGGCCTAGTAGCTCTACACTCCATTTTACCAAAATCCGCCACGGCGTGTTTACATAAGACTGTTATTTCAGGGCCATCTCCCGGAGTACAACGGTGGAATTATTCTTGAAGATGTGCTGCATCGACTACTTCAGCATGTCATAGCTTAGACGTACTCCTTCACAAGCTGGATTGACAAAATCAAAAGTCCGAATGCATAAAACTGGACAGGAACGTACCAGACGTCTTTCACTAAGTATTCTGGGAAAACACATTGCAATTATTTACACAAAATACATGTTGGATGAGACTGAACGGCCCAAAAAACGACTATACAACTTCCTAGTTTGTCGGTCCTGTAAAAAACAGTGATGCTGGTATAAATATGTTCATTGGGTTCCGAGAAAATGTCATTTCACAGTTTCGTAGCGGGCGAAGGTGTAGCAAGCAGTCAGTCTATTAGATGCTCAGTGCTTTCCCGGTGGTCTGCATTGACGGACTTCTGAGAAGCGTAACCTAGCCCGTGTCGAATATTCTGCGTGTATCGCATCTGTTGGCATACTATAGTCAAAATTAGGAATGTCTGTATCTTGGAACAAAATTTTGCACTTAAATCTTGTAGGATGGTGTGGTTTCACCTTGTGATTTTCTTACTAACTGATAAGGTTCAATATAATTGGTGATCAAGGTGACGTGCTCAACTGACGTTGCCACCACTTACATAACGCTGTGACGCAGTGACGTTTAACCTAGACGATTCGCCTTGTCGTACGCAGGGAGATTCACAATAACTACATAGTCTTCAGACTACTCTCCCAGAAATCTTTAAAAAAAACTGCAGTTTTTTTGGATTCATGCAACAGAAACACCCACTAAGGTTTTCCAACAGCATCGTCTTAGAGCCTTGGGAGAGAGATCAAAAATGCTGAATTGGGAGTAGTAATTTCTGACCTGTTGTACTACTCGTAGTCAAACCCGGTAGCAAAATAACTGGCATCTCAAACCTCATTAATCCACTCATGCTGTTTTAAAACTGGAAAAGTGGGCTAGTGACGGGTAATAATGAGCGTAATCATTAGGTAACCAGATGCTGGAATAAAAGCTACTTGGGGTGATTCCGGAGATTGTCGAAGTGAGGTAGTATGTAAATTGTAAACAACTTCTTCAAGTAGCAATCTGATCTGGTGGATCGTCCCTAGTTAAAAAACATGCATTCCACTATAGAGTGACTTTCTGACCGTAGAAAACGATCGTGCTTCACTGGGTGGTCCAAGAAAGGTTGCGCTTAACTGGATTTGGATGGTGTAGTAATCGTCCGTGAATAAAAGGATCATGAGGCATAAGGCAGCGTATGTATCGCACTCAATATTCACCCTTAAACTCATCCAGGACATTATACCGCAAGCGCACACAATAGAAGGACATATTTTTCCACTTGAAAATTTATAAATTCAATACCTTGAATATATATTTCAACAGCAATTAGATGAATGTAGCCAGATCAAATCACTCAGGAACACCGCTCAGGACCACACCTCATGTTTTGTCGGGGAGGTGACTAAGCTGAACAAAAGCGCAAAAACACTGACATGCCTAGATTTATGGCTGCTAAAAAAGAGTTTATACGTCACCAACTTCGCATATGACGCCATTTCAACTTTTTCGAAAACACTGCACCTTAGATCCCAAGGCAGTTGCACTATCCGCCTTGTACAAATTTTCAGGGGATTTCCACTGGCCTCTGAGGCACAATGCTCCCGGCTAATGCTAAGATGATTTAAAGGGATTTAACTGTACTAATAAACTACTAGTGACCCCAATTGTTACTAACTGTTTGTTTTACGAATTCTCAGTGTTTCAGGCGGAAACATCTTGTGTTCAGGCTGCTGGAATTTTACTTTTTACTACGTTGTATTGCCTTTGGTACTGCTCCCGATAGAAAAACCAAAAGTGCAGGGTTCAGCTAACATTCGACGAATAAATCACATAAAGGTGATTTGTCTTACACTAGCAAATCCTTCATTTATTCCCAATGCATGGAAGCAGCACTCGCTTATTGTTTAATAAAGTCTGAATGGAACCATGAAAGAGTACTTGACGAATGGTCCCTGGTGTCCATGAAGATGTTCCAAGTTCTCCTTGCAGTGAGGGTTTTGGAGTTAGTCATGAGAGACAAAGACTAGAAACGAAAGTGATATCGCAAAACCGTCTTTATTTGCTATGGGAAGATTACGTTGATCAGCCAGCCATTCATTTGTTTGATAGTCTGCACTTATTAACTCTACTTTTAGTGTTGGTTTATTGATAATTTTTTGTTCTTTCTACAAGGGCTTTCACTCAACCCCTGCTCCTCTTATCATGTTTGCATAAACTGAACCAGCCACGCACGCATTCGTAAAAAAGTCTAACACATTAAATAACTTGCTGTCGCAAGAGCTGAATGGCTTGGTCTCACTGCATTGAATTTGTCTTTTACTTACTGGTTGTTGTTCTGAGTATATTCGTGATAATTTTTCTCCGACAACGGAAAAGATTTATAGATGATTTTAAGCACTCATCACTACCGAATTACTAATGCAACAGGGCCGGCCTTGCTCACAAGTAGAATAATCTTCAGAATTGTGTGCAAAAAGGCTAAGGACCGACCGCCACCTGGAAACCAAAGCCGTTTACCACAACATAAGCCGCTTAGGAACGTGTCAGTGTCGTGGAAATGAAGTAAGCTCTCTTTCATTCCCCTCAAGTACCATAAACTTGCTGTCCATCATCTCAAAACGGGAAATGCGGGTAACAGGATGCTATCCTAACGAACATCGTTGCCTTGATACCTATATCTGCATAACTGAGTGCGAGAACATTGACTCTTTATACCATTTACGCTATAAAGTGAGGAACTTCAGTGCTTCGCGACTTAACACAAAATGTAAACATTTATATACTTTTGTCAGTTGTTAACGGGAAACTCAAAAGTTTACAATAAATTCACATACTTGAATAAGTAGAAAAGAACAAGGCAGTGACCTATGTAAGGCGAGAGATATCAGTTTAGCTAGTTGCCCACAATCACTCTTTTAGCCTTAGCGAGATGACTTCCAGAAGTTTGAGAGTGGGTTAACAGGCCCTATCCAAAAGATCTTAGTGAGCATTTCGGGTTACTTTCTTTACCGTTCTTCAGAAATACCAGTTGGTTCTGGTGATGTGCGTGTTAATGCATCTGTTGATAAGCTGTTAGTTAACGCGTAAAGCAAACTCTGGAAACAAAACCGACAG